GGGACTGCAGGCGCCTGCCACAACGCCTGGCTATTTTTTGGTTGCAGCCATCGTTGTTTGGCGGGCCCGGGCTGGATTCGAACCCGCCACCTTAGATGTATGTGTCTGGCGCCTTAGCCACTTGAGCCACAGGCACTGAGCCAGGTCTTGCTCTTTTTCAAGCTGGTCTCTAACTCCTGAGCTTAAGGGATCTGCCTGCCTTAGCCTCCTATAGTGTAGGATCACAAGTGAGAGCTACTGTGCTTGGTCCCTGAGTCAAAATATCTTGATAGCACTTTTTTAGAATCTTTCCAGCCAACTCTAGATCTCTATTAGAAAGGAGTCTAGGCAAGCTCTGCCTAGTGTTTCTTTCCCTTTGGGGAGATATGATTGCATATAAACATATTAAAAACTCTCTAAAGGAACCTGTTTCACTTATTTTTCATCTCATATTTTACCAGGGATTTTCCCTCACTACTCACCTCCTATAATAGCTGCTAACATTGTATTCCACTGACTTAGTTTTAAAATGCTGCTTTTAAGGTATAAGACCTAAAATCTTTGAGCTATTTAGTGCCAGAAAGATTTCAAGTTTGACTTTTTAATCTTTTGGATTAAGGCAACACAAGAGGAATAAATATGTATTCATGTTTTTAACTCATTAAAATGTTTTTAGTTTAAAAGAAATTATACAAAGAATGGTGGCATTTAAATTTTAAAACATTTTTATGGGAGATATCTTACATGATATGTGAGAATACATACATACATGTAACTCATTCCAATATTAGAAAATGAATCATGAAAAGCCATATTTTATCTCTAAATCAATGAATTTCACACTCCAGCCATAACTGATTAGTAGGCTGAGAAATGATTTTAATGGGTAGAAATCAGTTTGGGTTTTTTAAATAAAATACAGAAGAACAGAACTGTTAAAAATTCAAAGGCATTGGCTCGGCACCTATAGCTCAACCGGCTAAGGCGCCAGCCATGTACACCTAAGGTGGCGGGTTCAAATCGCCAGCCCGGACCCGCCAAACAACAATGACGGCCGCAACCAAAAAATAGCCGGGCATTGTGGCGGGCGCCTGTGGTCCCAGCT